TGGGATCTTCCCGGACCGGGGCACGAACCCGGGTCCCCTGCATCGGCAGGTGGACTCTCAACCACTGCGCCACCAGGGAAGCCCTGATATATTTTTTAAGTGCTTAAAATGCCTCTCCTGAATAAGCCTCCTGTATTTACCCAAAAGAATTTCCCTCTTTATTGTCAGGTCTGGATGCATAACAGCCATAATATCTCTCTTCTCCCCCAAACTGTGGCCTCAGCCCTGTCCCCCTGCCTGTAAGTTACACTGCCCTTGACTTACATTCATGATACTCTCGTGTCCACTTGCGTTACATGTGCTTTGCAGCCCGTTTATGTTTTTGAATACTGTGCTTCTGCTGTCATGCGCCCCTGCACATGGTCCATGGGGTCAGTATGACTTCTGTGGCCTGAAGTGAGTACTTCCAGGGAGCCAGGCAGTGCTTCCTACACAGCAGGAGCTTAATTACTGCTTTGCTCATTGGCTGGTCATTGCATGGATAATTATCTTTGTAAGGCTTTATCACAGAAGCTCAACAAAGACATGTAAGATGATAATGATATACATTATTACACTCCAGAATAGAGCATCCCAAAAGGTCTTGGGCCCATAGGATCTCTTCTGCTCCTTAAACAAATCTGGCCAGTTCAAGAGCTATGCAACTCAGGACATGTGAAAGGCCAGCAGCAGGCAACGGTCCACATCTCTGGTGTTCATCTGACCTGCTGCGACCCCCTAACATTTCCCACTCCCTCTTCTCAACAAACTCCTTGACTGAGCAGCTCAGCTCCTAATAGGTGCCTCGGCTCCTCCACCCACCCCTTCCTTTTGCATATATTTTCCAAGTTTTACCCTTGACACTTTCTCTAGGATGTGGTCTGTCCACACTTGCCTCCAGGAAGAAGCTAGCCTGGCCAACCACACACCTGCAGGGGAGAGGGATCAGGTGGGGCATGAGCAGGTGGCTTATCCCCCAAGACTAAGTGGTCCTGGGATCTGGGGACCCTAGGATCTGTGGTTCCAGTGTGAACACAGGCTGGGAGACACGGACAGCTTACCAGGAAGCCAGACTCCTCTCCAGCAGGAGTTGAACAGATGTGTTTATTGATGGCCCACGTGTGCTCTTTGGCTGCTATAGAGAAGCAAAGTACAAAATAGGGAGGAGACCCAGACATTTAATTCAGGAAAGAAATTTAGACTACCTCTAAATAACAACACAGTTCTATATTAAATTCATACCTTAAATACAGAGTGGGGCAATTGAAGAACAGGCTCCATGCAATGTCACCTGTTGGGAGTCCCTGAGTAGGCTCTCTTCCAGTTTACCCTTTCCTGGGCTCGGCCAGAGTCTCAGCCTGCTCTCCACAGCCTTGTGGAAGGGTCTGGCCTGAAGACTCAGGGGGGCCCAGCAAGGTGCCTGGTTCCCAATTGCTCAGCTGTCTGAGCCCTCCCTCCAGCATGTGCCATGGGGAACATCAGGACTCAGAACTTAAATACAATATTGTTTGTAACTGTGAAGAGACCAGAATAGATGTCTAATAATGTGTTTTTGTAAGTCAAACCTCGTTCTGTAGACAAAACTGGTCCCACTGCCAGGTTATCAGGATGGCATGGGCTCTGGGTGATTTTTCCACTCAGAGATGGGCTTGCTTTGCACCATCTACCCTCGCTCCTGCCTACACCCTTTTGTGACCAAAGCCCAGGCATGGCCCCCTTGGAGAACCTGCCAGCTGGCTTACAGCTAGTTATTCCACCCTCACAACAGAGGGGGCTGTTTCTTTTCCTCTGTATCCCCATTATCTTTCTTTCCTCTTTGGAAGATGGGCCTGGGCAAGGGAAGGGTCTAAAAATGTGGTCATCCCTGATTAGGGAGGAGGGAAGACAAGTCATAGATTAGAAAACCAGAGGAAGGGAATCTTAATGCTAATAATACCACCACCATACATTTACATAGCACTTGAAAGATTACCAGTACTTGGATTGCTGAGTCAGTTTTTGGAAACTACCCAATATCTCTACTCATTCTTGTCCAGTCTCTGAGCTGAGATAGCTATAATGGCTGTTAGCAATCATTTTTTCAAAACAAAATATAGACCATGCACAAACTCTCCAGACTAGGAACCG